AGTGTGTCTGAACCTTTAACTGAACCCTTAGCCTTTCCTATGAGTAACTGACCTCAATCAAAGGATCTTAACTACTGTATAATAATAGCTGCCTATCTAGCTTCCTTTCTATACATCATTCATTGTAATAAGTAAATTTTAATGTTAATAATTCAGTTAGAACCGTGTTTCTGTCAGGTAGGTGTGACTGTAGTCCTCAGTTATATGTGTGAGAACTGAGGCACAAGCAGTTGAGTAACTGGATACAGACAATAGTGATGACATTGGGTATAAATAGGACAGCAGTCTGGATAACAGTCACATAAATAGACAAGAATAGAAAAATAATAACTTCAGCTCCTTTCTACTCCACAGTAATATCCATGCAGTCACTCCGTCAATGGCAGACCTGGTATTGCATCACGAATCAAAGCCCCGCGTAAGAATGCATGAGGCTTTGGGGGAACATCTAAACACAAGCCTTAACAAGCACCCTCTGAGAATATTTTGTATTGAATAATTACATTGAGTAAAATATGGTTACATGCTAATAATGCTTTCTAATGAATATATATTATTTATTTTCTACATTCATATATTGGTCCTATATATATGTCATATACAAGTAACAGTATATTTAAAATTCTTTTATAAAATACATGTATATATTTTTAAAGCAATGTCCAATTAAATTAATTTAATATAGCTGGCTGACAAAATACTTCTGTAGTAGGTACTTGCCGAATAAACAAATGATTTGGAATGTTTAGAAAAACACATAAAACATTGACACAGTTTGAGGATTGCATGTTTTTTAATTTGCTGTTTCTTGGATTTGGTTAGACCATCAATCTGGGAAGTTGAAAATACATAGCACATATACAGGCTCATTGTTGCTTATAACTTTTCCCTGTGTTTGTGGGTGCGTGCATGTGTGTGTACAAAAGAAATGGAGATAGAGGTAGTATTATGAGATCTGTAAATCCCTTGAAAAAATCATTTAGAATTACTTAAATGTACAATGAATATTCGATTTATAATATAACTAAGTGAAAAATAGATGCCTGGAACATGTCACTAGTTATACATTGTTTCAGTGTTTGGCTCACTTTTCCTAATTCAGTTGTTTAGTAGCATAGAAGGATTAAAAATTGTTCAGTGATTGTTTAGAGTTGCTAGTGAGAACAGATGAACTTGAGATTATGCTTAGTGGAGGGAGTTGGTATTCTGGACCACATGGTAATTGTGTTTTTTGCTTTTGTGTTTTAATATTGTTTTATATTATGGCTGTGCTAATTTACATTCTCACCAACACTGGTTAATGGTTTCCTTTGCTTTAAATCTTTTTCAGTACTTATAATATTTAGTGTTTGTTTTTATAAAAGCCATTCATACTGGGGCAAAGTTTATCTATGGGTCATAATTTACAAGTAGATAGGAGCATTTTCTGGTGAGCTATTGCACTGTAGAGTCACTAGGTAGCATCAATGTATTATATATGTCATGAAGCAAGAAGAAAGGTTATAAATTTTTAATCTATTTTTGTAATCAGTATATCAGATCACAAAAAAATGAGGAAGAGAATGAGAATGTGCAAAAAAAAAATGATGGCCTGTAATTTTTTCTTTTACAATTTATCCTTCTTGAGTCAGAGGAATGGGCCACTGGGGATACTGTCTCAAAAGGATCCAGATCCATTAATTCTCTACTGCTGGAAGGCATTATGAATTCAGAATTTGGGGACTATATTAGTAGCATGGCAGAGTGTGGAATCTTTGTCTTAGATTCACTTGGAGAGTGTGCAAAACCATGGCTCTTTGTATTGTGCTATTTCATAAAATAGAGTTCTGGCTTTAGAAACACATTCTTCTTGCCTAGAAGCTTTAGAAAAACAGTCCCTGTATTAGATTAGATGTGTTAGTCATCAGCTGCTATGTGTCTAAAGATCTTCCTGATTGTTTTTAACTCTTGTTCTGCTTACACCACTTTCTTTCTTTTGTTCCCCTCTGTCCTGCTGAGACATCTGAATTCTCTGAGCCCTGACCATTGTACCTGTTGATCCAGGAGAAGGAGAATCATGGTACTGTGGAGAATTCTTACATGGAGATGAGTTCTGTAATCCATTAGTAAGTCAGCTCTGAGAAAGCAACGAAGGTGAGGATTGTTGGGGAAAAGTGTGTGTGTGTGTGTGTGTGTGTGTGTGTGTGTGTGTGTGCATATTTGTCAGCAGAATGGCTTGCAGAAGGAAGGTGGGTGACATGGAAGGAGCCAGGTTCTTTCATCAGGAACCTTCTTTTGCAGTTAGAATACACATTACTAATTTTCCCTTCTTACCATGTTTTCATCAATCTGAGAACTTCATTGAACAGATATGTGCATTTCCAAACTCCCATTAGCAACAAAGTGGGGAAATGCAAACCTGAGTAAGATGATGAGAGTGAAATTCAGCAAATTTAGGAAAAGCTAAAATACCAGTTTTGGAATTTAGAGTTGAAGAAACATAGTCTGACCATTGTGAAGAAAAATAAATTATTCACTTTTGTTTCCCTGGGAGGTGACCCTGAGTTATCATCTATGGCAGAAATTCAGTATGTTATTAAATGACTGTCTTTACCATCAAGGACAATTTAATCATGGGGTATTTCCTTGGAACAGTGTCATTCTTTTTTAGGAATAGATATGAGGGAAGCCTGCTGTGGAATCCTCATTGCAGAAGATGGTGAGGAGGGTGTTGATAGTGCAGCCAATGTACTTGGTGATACTTGCTTGCACTCTACTTTGGGCAGTAAAGTGCAGTCCAGTTAGTAGTTTGAATTTAGTTACTAAGATAGAAACAGAAGTGTTCATATTAAAGGGAACATTTGTACACTTCTAGGCTACAAGATGTTTTCTTTTGAAAAATTTTGTCAGAATATTTACATAACTCACTGTTTTGGGTCTCGGAAAAATAACACCTGAAATGTGTGTCTTTTGCTACATTTTCCCTCTTTGCTGTTTGTGGGGTGTGAACTTACAGCCTTACATTCAGCTACATTCCCATCCATTAAAAAAATTTTTTTTTTTTACTTTGAAACAGTGCCACACTATGTCACTGTATTGCCTAGAGGGGGCTCAGACTTGCCACCCCCACTGCTTCAGCCTCCCAGAGAGTGAAACTTACAGGTATAGGCCACCCTACCTGGGTAATGCCAGTGGACTGTATGCTTTGTCTTAACATGAGAAGAGTCATCTTAAGAAGATTTGGGGGAGGGCTCTTTAATTGTAGCCATCATTTGAAGTTTTGACTCAGGTTAAAAAGGTCATTTATGTTTATAAACATGAAGATTTTTGCTTTCTTCTTCTTTTCTGTGAATGGTAAAAAAATGGAAGAGCATAAAGTTTTACTGATGTCAAGTTAAAACACACTCAAATTATATATATATATATATATATAGTTTTATGTAGCAATGAGAAGTAAATATTCTTTTGCTAATCTTATTGACCTTTTAAAATCCACTCCAAATTCTATTTTCATTACATCTGTGGTGCTTTTGTTAATATATCATTACTTATACTCAGTCTTACATGAATGAGGTTTAGTGGTTAAGTGAATTTATTACACATTTACTATGAAGTGCCAAAGGCAGACCATAGCATTTTATATTAATCTCACAAAGCCTCTATGAAACTGAAAATATACTGTTGCATTTGGAGCACATAGTACTCAGAGAGGGTAAGTTACTCAAATCCCTCTAGGTAGCAAATAGTAGAATCAGGTTAAGTTTAGACATCAGTTTTATATAACATCTGAGGGAGTAGCTCAAGGAATGGAACCTTATTTTATTTATTTTTCTTTTTCCAGCAAGAGATAATGATTGCAGCGCTGAGTAGATGGCCATAGTCTAAGGTTGACATTTAAATATCATTTGGGGCTGGAAAAGGCTTTTACTGCCTGTCAAAATCTTTGTTATCTCCGAATCTGTTCAAACTCCTGGAAGAGGGACCAGTCTTACATAGGACATGGCAATGGGGCAGGTGACATCATTTCCTAAGAGGCCCTGCTTCCTTTCCTTCTTTCTTCTTGTTACACTTACTGGGAATTTTATCCACAGGCTAAATCTCTACTCTTATCTAAATTGAAATATTTCAGGGTATGAACCATCTGTAAGCTATGAATATACTTATCAGGTCATTTTTACCAACAAATCCTGGTCACAGCAGAGGAAAATCAGATTTATCTTGTGGCAACATATGAAAGTTTAAGTCAAAATGGAATACAAAAAAGACAAAAACAAAAACAAAAAACTAGAGCATCAGAAAATATGGTTCAGGTTATTTCTTAGGTTTATCTAGTACAACTATAAAATGTTAAACTGTATTAATGTTATTAATACTATTTGCAATTGTTCATAGTGTAGAAATCAAACTTAATGGAGAGAAAAATTTCCAGTAGGATACTGTACTAGTTTCCATGACATGCACAATGCCATGTTCTAGATATAACCTCCTTTTTGCATGTGTACGTGGGTTATAAATACAAATAATATTATTTTCTCTTGAATATAAATGTTGAAGAATGTAAACAGTATTGTTGAAAGTAAAAATAATGGGAAGGCACTTATCATCTTTGCTTAGGTTCATATATTTATGAGCATATACTTGAGTATTTGGTATACTTATAAAGAACTTATGATATCTAATATTTAAGTGATGTAGTAACTGATAACACACTCTTCTTGGAGAAGATTGATGAGTATGAAATATAAGAGTTTGATGATAAGTTGGATTGGAAAAAACTAAAGACAATGGTAAGAGTTGATTATCTTAAGATATTTACTAATTATCAAAATAAATTATTCTTTTGCTTTATGACTCATTTCTTAATTTAACCTCAAGGCCAGATTTGTTGCAGATCCCTTTCCCTCAATGTCCCTTTTAAGGCTATATTCACTGTCTTAGAACCACTTTGTTAGGAAGACTTTCTCAGTTCCTCTGATCTTACATCATGTTTATTGCATTGGCTTTCCAGGACCACCTGACCTATGAGCATGAGAAACTACACGTCTGTGACTGAGTTCATTCTCTTGGGAATTCCTAATACTGAAGGGCTGGAGAACATGATCTTTGTCCTGTTCCTGACTTTCTATACCTTCTCCTTGCTGGGAAACCTGCTCATCTTCCTCACCATTCTGGCCTCTTCCAACCTCCACACCCCTATGTATTTCTTCCTGGGAAACTTGTCCATGTTTGATATACTTTACCCTTCTGTGAATTCCCCCAAGATGATGGTCTTCCTGATGGGGCAGAGTCGTACCATCTCATACCAGGGCTGTGCTTCCCAGGTCTTTTTCTACCACACATTGGGTTGCATCGAGTGTTTCCTGTACACAGGGATGGCCTATGACCGCTTTGTGGCCATCTGTCACCCTATGCGATACACAGTCATTATGAATCCCAGGGTGTGTACTAGCTTGGCAGTGGGCACTTGGGTAGGCGGCTGTCTCCATGGGAGTGTCCTGACATTCCTCATCTTCAGGTTACCCTACTGTGGCCCCAACAAAGTGCACAGCTTTTTCTGTGATATTCCAGTGGTGCTTTCCCTGGCCTGTGCAGACACCTCTTTAGCACAGACAGTGAGTTTCACCAATGTAGGTGTTGTTGCACTTACATGTTTTCTCCTTGTCCTCATTTCTTACACTCGCATTGTTCTCTCCATATTGAAAATTCGCTCCTCAGAAGGCAGGCGCAGAGCCTTCTCCACCTGCAGCGCCCACCTGACCTCCATCCTCTTGGCCTATGGGCCAGTGATTCTTGTCTATCTCAAGCCTGCTTCCAACCTCTGGCTAGATGCTGCTGTTCAGGTGTTAAACAATGTCGTCACTCCTTCCCTCAATCCTTTGATTTATTCCTTAAGAAACAAGGATGTGAAATTGGCCCTGCAGAAGGTGTTAGTTCAAATGGCCCACCCTCCTGCAGTATAAAGAATAGGAGAAACATTTCCCTGAAGTTCTTTGGGAGGTTGCTGCAGATGCAGGCTTTTTATATCAGGATTACTGCCACATACTGAGTTGGGCAAAGTTAGTATCTGTCATTTCTTGGGAGTTCCAACAGTTATTTTATCCAGAGTGGATGTGCTGTGACGTGGATTTACACCTTCAAAGAAACTTTTTATGTTATCCCAGCACTTTTCTATTTTTTCTCTCATTGAGTTTATTGGTACATTTTATGTATACAATAGAGTTACATTCTTTATTGGGATCTTGCACCTTTAAATGAAAGGTCTTGGTTCTCATTTTTGCCCTTGTCCCTGCCCTCCCTTCACCCCCACCTCCCCTCGCCATTTGTAAATACTTTATTTCAATTTTATCATATTATTTTCTTTTCACTTATTACCTTTCCCCTGCCCCTCCCACTTTCTCTACACCTTTATCCCTTTTCTTCCTATTTCACATTGTCAATTATATTATTAGTGTCTTATGTACTAGAATAGTTTTTCACACCAGAGAAACTATTCGGTATTTACACATGTATGACTTATTTATTTCACTTAGTAGTAGATCCTCAATATGTACTCATTTTCCTATGAATGAATCTAATTTCTCATTCTTTATGGCTGAGTAGTATTCCAATTTATAGAAAAACCACATCTTTATCCAGTTTCCAACTAATGGGCAAATGGGCTGTTTCCAAGTTTTAGCTATTACAAACTGTGATGCTATAAGCATAGGTGCACATATATCACTGTGATATGATTCTTTTAATTCTTTTGGAAAGACACCCAGCAAAGGGATGGCTGGGTCAAATGGAACCTCTAGTCCGAGCTCTTTGAGGTATCTCCATATTGATTTCCATAGTGGTTACTAAATTAAAATCCAAGTGTATTAAAGATCTAAATATTAAAAAAGAAACATTAAACTTGCTGGAAGATAAGTTAGGCAGAACTCTTGAAGACATTGGCATAGGAAAAGACTTTATGAACAAGTCCTCAGTAGCACAAGAACTAACAGAAAGAATCAACAACTGGGATCTCATCTTATTAAATAGCTTCTGCACTGAAAAAGAAACCATCAACAGAACTAAAAGACAACCTACAATGTGGGAAAAAATTTTTACCAGCTGCCCTTCAGACAAAGGGCTATTATCTAGAATATACAAAGAACTCAAAACAATCAGGTCCCCCAAATATAAAGACCTGATTCAAAAATGGGCATCTGAAATGAACAGAAATGTCTTAGACAAAGAAGTAAAAACAGCAAGTAAATATATGAAAAAGTGTTCCACATCACTGGTAATTTGAGAGATGCAGATGAAAACAACACTGAGATTTCACCTCATCCCACAAAGGATGGCTGCTATCAAGAAATCACACAATAACAAATGTTGGCAGGGTTGTGGCAAGAAAGAAACCCCTTTCCATTTTTGGTGGGAGTGCAGACTTTGCTATTTTTAATATTGCCAAAACAGTGTACTTTTCTTGCTTTTCACATTAGGTAGCTGTTAAAATATTATTTTGTTTGATTTTCATGAAGCTACATTTTTTTATATGGAAAACACATTTCCTACTATAGCTTCTTTTTGTTGAGGTTGTTTGTTTTACACATTTATGCCTTAGCCTTTTCCACTTTCCAAGGCAGTATCTGTCTCATCACTCAGTGAAGCTAGCATTTCTAATTGAGAAGGTGTGAAATTCAGAAGTAAGATTCCACAACTTGGTACTGTAGTTAGTTTACACTCAGTTTATATGTTCTTTGGCTTCAACTGTATCTTTCTCATACAAAACTGTATCTTTCTCTTATGAAATAATTTAAATTTTTCTTTGATTCCAGAGAAATCTGGTGTTGAACTTCATTCTCAAGTGAGAAAGTGGCCAATTAATTATGGTTTACAATGTGAGAATGGATTTTGAATGAGAGAATTGAGTTGGTAAAGTTGTAATGACTTTATGAGCTAGATATTTCTATTCATCGCAGGTACTCTCCATTTCTTGATAATCTAGTGTAACTATAATTGAAGTAAAGTCATGAATATTTTGTTATTTTGGAATATTTATATTTTTTCATTTAATCAAACTAATTTGAGGGCAGGAAACTTCTATTTAAGTACATCTAGTCAGACACCTACAACAATGAGTGCTAACATTTAAAATTTGTTTAATGTGTTCAAAGTACTTTACATATGTTGGATAAGTTAATCCACATAATTCTCTCAGGATTTGCTATATTGTACTCTTCATACAGATGAAGAAACTAAAAAAAAAAGGAAATGAAAAAGAACTAATTACTGAGAATTATTCATATACATGTCTTTGAACCTATAATTAAACCTTTTTCTCTCCTATGCCATTTTTCCTGATGAGAAATCTTAAAGAATCTTCAATTCTGCGTGACAGCTGTATCTATATATCATTCGTTGTTATGCTAATTTGCATACATTAACTAACACAATCTTAATTACATCTGGTTTGGGTAGGTGTGATTACTGCCCTCGATTATTCAGGTGGGAACTGAGTCCCAGAGAAGGGAGTAACACCATATAAACAATAGTTATGTCATTGGTTAAGTAGGGAAGCACTGTGGGTAACAGTTCCAGAATAAGGCACTGAATGGAAAAGAATATCTATACTCCTCCACACTACTGTTATCCTTTCATTTGTCAAGTCATTAAATCATTGTTGAACTTAAACTAATTATGTGAGTTGTGTCATATGGGACCTGGACAGGATGTCACAGAATGACCCATATAAAGGGAAAAAGGAGAAGTAGGGAACTACATCTGTCCATGATATAGGTCAAATGCTTATATGCAATCACCTGGTTTACTACCAAAGTTACTATTATCACATTGTCCTTCATAGACAACTTGTTTTCCTTTATATGAAAGTTCTTGGGTCTCCTGCATCATCCACAGTATTGTATTTGATTCTATTGTAGAGAAACAATTTACTCTAAAACTTGACATCTTAGAATGAATTTGTTTTGCTTTTGTATTACTGTGTCTGATCATCAAGAATACTACAGTAGCGTAGCTAGGTGGTCTTAACAAGGATTTCTCACAGTGTTACTATTACTTTGTCCCTCAGGGAGGCAATCATGTGAGGCAGGGTCTGCTGGCAAAGAGGCTCAGTACAGTTCTGTTAGAAGAGGCCTCAGTTTCTCAGTCACCACAATGACCTTTTCATTAAGCCATTTACATGTCCTCAGATCACAGCACCTGCTTACCTGTAGTGAGTAACTGAAGAGACGGTCTAAGGATGAACCTGGTGAGCCTTTAGCATCTTGATTCTGTCATGCCTGTTTTTTATTTTCTTGTTGTTAGGAGGGAGTTGTTCAGTGGGGGAGAATTTAGGCTCCACACTTGAAGAGCTTGTCAAAAAATTTATAGGCACACTTCCACCCACCACAGATATTCTATATTTCAATGGGATTTCCTTATTGGAAGGCTTCTTTTTAGGATTACTTCATATGATAATACATGTTTTGCACAGTTTTCTGTATTTAAAAAGTGCACACTAATTCATCTTGCCTTTGTTCAAATCATACTTCTTTAGATCATACCATTCCACAATTCCTTTTTTGTTTTTGTTTTTTTTGTTTTTTTTTTTGAGACAGGGTCTCACTGTGTACTTCAGACTGCTCTGGAACTCACTGTGTAGCCCAGGCTGGTCTCAAACTCACAGTGATACTCCTGCCTCAGCCTGCAGAGTGCTGGGATTATAGGCATGCACCACCAGACCTGGGTCAACAATTCATTTTTTTAATCAGATTTCATTGCTTAAATTATTTACGTCATCTTTAAGAAATATAAAAATTGGGACACTTTTCATATCATCATTTTTGGTTGTTACATAATCCATAAATTATTATAAAATATTTTAATCAGTGATTGGCATACAACACAATTAAGTCAAATGGGAAGCCATGAGAAAAATTCCAAATACTTATTGGCAGTTTACTATTTATAAAGCACCGTGTGGCCAAATGGGATTTATTCAAACAGATATAGTTTCTCTACTTGCATAATATCAAACATATTGGAGAAGACTGATGCTGTACAAGTACTCTACATATGATGGAATAAAGACTTTGAACAAACATCAAAAAGGGGGTTGTGAAAACACAGGTTTAGACAAATGCCTCAGATGAGGAAAGAGATATGCTAGAAAATGGAGAAATGGGGATGTTGAGGATGAACTCCAGTAACTATGATTGTACAGTACTTGAGATCTTTGTAAATATATATTCTGTGAATACCACTTAAAATGGGTGAGTGTTATAGCATATGAATTAAATTTCAATCAAAGTATTTAAATAATACAGAAGATGCTAATAAGATTACTGACATTGAGAAATGGGAAGAAAGGAGCTAAAAGTGTAGGGAAAGTGGGAATGGTAGGGGAAAGGTAATAAGGGAAAAGAAAAAAATGTGAGATAATGAAAGATGGAAATAATGTGTTTGTAGATGGGGAGGGGAGGAGGGGGTGAAGGGAGGGAAGGGCCAAGGGGAAAAAATGAGAACCAAGACCTGTAATGTAGCAGTACAAGATCCCAACAATGAATGTAACTGTACGGTATCCCTAAAATGTACCAATAAACTCAATTAAAGCTGAAAAGAAAAGATATAGTAACAATTGTTGGTTGAAAGAAATGAAGTTTTAAATCACTTAATCCTTCCTTTTAGAAAACAAAGATAGCCCCTCACCTGCCTCTCAAGTTCAAGGTCCTGAGTTCAATCCCTGGTACCAGAAAAAAAGAAAGAAAGAAAGAAAGAAAGAAAGAAAGAAAAAGAAAGAAAGAAACAAAGAAAATGAAAACAAAGCTAAAATTCAGAAAAATGGATAAGACTTCATGATTTAGCATGTTTATTTTTAAAAGTAAGACAGAATATTTATTCTATGTAGTTATAATTAAGGATTTTTTGGGGGGATGTGTACATTTTATTAAAGTGGAAAAGTGCTGCATGATCAACAATGTAGGGATTTTGG